AGAGAGAGAGAGAGAGAGAGAGAGAGAGAGAGAGAGAGAGAGAGAGAGAGAACAAAAGATGTATAAATTTATTATTGACATCATTTCGATTGCGATCCAAAACTACAAAAATTCCATTCAATTCGATTGAGTTTGATATTCTCAAAAATAAAAGTGCAACAGATGCCGGTGGAGTATGAGTGTGAGAATGAAATTATTGACGCAAACGATTACAATGACCATCTGGCCGAAATTTTCAATTTGAATTCAGATTTTTTTTTTATTTTTCATTTCACTTACGTTCATTCTTTCGTTTTAATAAATTTGAGGGTCGTCTCTCTTCTCTTAGGTATAAGGTTCAATAGGGTTGATTTTCTTTTGAGCACAATTTTTGCCACCAATTTACCGCTTTCTTTAGCAGTATCAGTACAAAGTAGAGTACGTTTTGGTTTGTCGTATATATAAAATTAGTCTTTGTGCTGTACTGTTAAAAGAAAAAGAAAATTATTTTCTCAAATTATTTATTTATTTAAATTACTTAGTAGATAGAAAAAAAATAGTTTTCTTTAAAAAAAATAATGCAAGCATAAAATATCAATATATTGAAGGCATATATCTCACACTCACGAACCATCATATCATTATATTGTCAGAGTTAGAAATTAAAGGTAACACAAAAATTATAAGTTTAAATGCACATATCGTATTTTAAATAAAAAGTCCATAGCGAAAATCAAGTCGAATCTGTTGACGAGAAAAGGAAACGGCTGACATAAAACACACGAACGTAAATCGGAAGAATGAATAAAGAATAAAAAATGCGCACGGCAAAGGATTCGAATTTCTTTTGTCGTCAATAAGCCAAATGTGGCAACAGTTGTCACACAATAGCAAAACTGTACACTCCGATTTCTCGATTCGTTTGATGCAATGGCATTTTCTTTATGCTTGTGTGTTTGCCACACAAACGAACCGAGTTTCTTCATTAGCTAAAGTTTGTATTAAGAAACGAGTAACGTCTTAGCCTATAAGATGCATAAAGGAATGTTCATAAGAAACGAAAAATGGTGCAATACAAAAACATAATTGTCTGCAGGTTATCTTAACAATCCATCAAAAACAACGTGTATTTACCTATCTCAAAAACAAAAAATTCGTACATCGTAATGTTCATATTCAAGAAAACCAGTATAAATTCATGACCCTAACGCTTAAATTAAAGACAAAACAGAAACATTTGCAGAGAACAACAAAAAAACCATACACGCATAGGGTAAATTATATGTTGAATGAAAGAAGGAGAAAAAAATGGTGTACGCTCTTTACATAGACGAAACGAATATAAGAATGGGTCGTTTACGCTGTTGTGATCGTTACCGTTGCCACAAGATGGAAAAATGAAGGGAACTAAGGAACTCAAGCAAACAATAGACAACGAACGACTTAAGAATAAGAATAAGAAATATTCAATTAATGTACGGATCAGTAGAAAAGCAGTCTTGCTGTATGTGTGAACTATGCAACTATGTGATCGTTTGGTGCATACACGAACGCGTTGCAAACACAATGAACAATATGACATAAGTTTCTAAAGCATAAATAAATTTCTTTTCGAGGGGTTAAGGTTATCGAAGCATAGCAGTAAAAGGAATACCGAAAAAACCGTTACAAAATTTATTATTGTTTTTTTTTTATTATTGTGTGTTCTATGCCATCCTCACGCATTTCTTTCTACTGTAGACATTATGCTTTTATATACGATTAACGTTTAAGAAATTGAATGACAGTTGTAAGAAATACGCAAAATCAATGTTTACGCGGGAAACGTTAAAATCAACGCATTCAAAATGTTAGCTCGATTTGTTTTGCTATTAAAGATCCCAAACTCACTCGCGGTACATTTTGTTGTGGAATATAATTTTGATTTTTCATTTTATTTTAATAGAATAAAATGAATAAAAGATTTAAAGATTTAATTGGCACTTAATGCGAATGCATAAGCTCAAAAAAAGCCGGAGCTATAAGTTGCATTGTCTTGAAATGAGCATCATAATGTAAATTCTTCATTCAAATTCTTTTTTGTGCAAGCTAAAAAAACACACTTTGGCATTTTCTGATGACGATAAAATGCGGCATTTTTCCGAAATGATTTCCTTTTTCGTTGTGCCACTTCGAGATTGAACACGTCGAACAAATACAATATGATTTTGAACAAATAAAAATTGTGCCTTTTTTTATTCCCGAAGTGAGAGTAATTTAACTCCATTCCGGATGAATAAATCCGAAAAGACCGAGTATGTGTTGATTTGTTTGTTTGTTCGTTGTTGTTGTTTTTTTTTATTGAAAAGAAAAATCTGAATACCGTCGTGATAAGATAATTTGATAGCATGATGCAATTTTCATGATTTAAACAATTAAATTCAGCCTTATTATTAATGAACGTTGGCTTTTGATTTTTTGAAGACAAGAAAATTGCATAAAAACACCCATTTCATTTGCATATTTCAAACCAATTACAAATATCACAAACACAATACTACTGTGCTGTTCTTATCCATAACGTATATTCTGTTGCTCAAGTACTTAGGAATTCAAACAAAAAAATTAAGTCATGAAATGAGGAAATGGCTGCCATATATATATAAAAAGGATCATATAAAATAATTGGCATACGAGAATAGATTTAATTAACTAATTCAAACCAATGTATGTTTGCACATAATATGCTGTTAATAATAATTTCTCAAGAGTGGTGTGAAAGTACAAAAGAAATGCTGGTAATCAACGCATTAGCACATATGATTTCGCCATTCTTACGATACTTCAACAAATTTAGACTACAATATACTAAAAAAATGAAAGTAGCGTACGGGTGTTCTCGAACTTGATATAGATAACTTAATTTCTTCTTTTCAATCGCTAAAATTAAACGATTAAAATAAACCAAGGAGAGAAGTGATGCTTGTTGGCAAAAATATTCCACGCAAACCGTGGACCCGAAGATATATGTGTGTACATAATGAAGCTGCTGCTTGGTTTCGATTTACAGCGTAATGAAGTACGTGGCATAAAAAGAGACATACTCGCGTTTCATAAACTGCATTTATTGTGTTTGTGTTTGCATATATGTTTTACAGTGTGGAAAAATGCATTTGCTTCGGTTTTTTTTTTGCGTATTTTTTTTACTCTTTACAGTTTTATATTCCTTTCTCATTCCATTTCCCACGCCACGTTCTTTGTAATATTTCCTTGTGCACTTCTAAACGTTTATTTAGCGTACGCAAGAGCTAACGATGTGTATATACTGTACCTATTTTCAGTCATTTAATTGAGCACTCTACCTAAGTGAAGATAAGAAGCCTAGTTGAAGAATAATTGTGATAGGAGCAATAATTAAAACTATTGTTCTTGACATCACACACGCAACTGATAGAACATCTCAAGCTGAAAAAGACAAATCAAAGACACAAGGCACGCGCCACACAAATATTGGCGACACGATTCAAACGCGTTCTGTCGTTTCGACCGTTTTTCAGTTGTTGTTGTTGCTGCTTTTTTGTTTTGCACTGGAGAAAATTGTACAGAGATTATGTGTAAAGATTGCACGGAAACTGATTGTTTAAATAATGCTGTAGTGCTTGTATATGTCGAATGAAAAAAAAGAGAAAATAATTCCAAGTTAACATTAAAACACAGATCCTTGCGTTAACTTTTCTCGCAGTTATTGGGTTGTCTCGAAACACAAACACTTTTGTATTTTTTTAAAATACATAAACACTACATATCCAATTGAAACACACTTCACGAACACTTTCTGCTTTGTTCTCGACACTTTTCATGCATATACGTCATTCATCAAATTCCATATCTCAAATTAAGATGATTTTACTATTTAGTCATGTTCATATTTTGCGATAGAGAGAAAAAAACACAACGTTAATTTTCCTTTCTTTCACTTACTCTCTGCTCTCACCTTTTACATTCAGTAGTATTGTTCAGTAGTGCTTCTTGTTCAATTCTCGTTGCACTTTCAATGTTGGCGTACGTCACTATATTGCTGACGCTGTTGACAAATCATCATGGTGATGCTAGTTATCAGCGATGAAGTCGATTTTCAACAGCTTAACTCAAGCAATCGCTGAGGAAATGACAAAAAAAGCAACAACAACAACAACGGCACACATGCACTCTCAATGATCACAAATGATTTCAAACATTCCCTCTGGTAATTTGTCAAAAAATGTAACATGTAACTTGTATTTCAAAATGACAACGTGAACATTGCAATGCGTGCTATTAATTAGAAAATGCAAATAAATTGCGAATTCATTTCTTACTCCCTCTTTAAATTTTCTTCTCTTTCTTCTGCATCAACGAGCGATTTTCATTATTTTACAATATTTCATAGTTCGGATGTAGTAGTAGTCATCTTGATTGTTTTTTGCCAAAGATTATTTTTGTATTTGACTTGACAACCAATAAATGCTCATCGAACTAATTTTTTCAATACACACACTCCATTGAAAAACTCCTGAATTTCGATTAAATGATTTAAGTCTTAAAATTTGCTTCCAATGCAATAAAAGAAATCGGTAGAAAGAGAAGCGCGCGAAACTTCACTCATATTTTGTGCATAGGAGTGTTTTTCGCACGTCATAAATTGTGATTGAATCATAGGATGATAAGAAATATTCAACATTCATATTTTGAATGATTTTTGATGAAAATTTTTTTAAATCATTAGACTCATCTGTGATTTGTAATAGTTTAGATTTTGTAAATAAATGTTATAAATTGTAATTAATAACTTTTCACGTTTGTCATTCTAGTGAATTTTACTACATTCAAATGGAAAAGTATGCTCGACAGGCAGTTAGTGAAGGAATTAAGAGCCCAGAAGATTTACATATTAGTGGCGATAGTGAAATTTATAGGGTGCTCAATTTACACTACAATCGAAATAATCACATCGAGGTAAGTTTTCCGAATGTAAATTCGACTTTTTTTTTGTTTTTTCTTTTGTTTTCATATCACATTCAATACATTATTAATTTGAATAGGATTGATAAAATAAAAAATGATTAATTACAATTCGAAACCAATAATTTGATAAATTTAAAACTAAATGACATTTCCTCGCCGTAAATAGGTACCTCATCGATTCCGCGAAGTTGTTGAACAAACGTTGCGTGAATTTTTCCGTTCCATTCAAAGTGGCAAGGATACCGAGCAATCATGGAAAAAATCAATTTACAAGGTTATTTCCCGCATGGACGATTCAGTTCCCGAATATTTCAAATCTCCGAATTTCTTGGAGCAACTGGAATAAAAGACCACACATGACATATACATAGACACACCGAGAAGAAATAAGAAACAATCAACTATTCAAAACAAATTAAACAAATCTAAGACAGAAACTAAATATGAAATAAAATGATAATGTATGAAAATGAAATGAGTATAATGCACCGATATAAATGTGAACTGGAAAACATTCAGATCTATTCTCACTTATCTGCCAGATAATTTCGATTTGTTTGGATCTTTTTGTGAATCATATTATTTATAAATAGAAAAAAAAACAACAAAATATGGAAATTTGCTCTTTAGCACATTAGCTGCTACATTTGTGTTTTATTGGTCTTATAAGTGAAATTCGATTCAATGCATCATTTGGCCATAAAAATGTTAAATCTGCGGCATAAATTCTCTACATAATTTTGATTTAATTAGTATCTTAAAAAAAATAATGTATTTCACAAAATACATGTACTTCGTTTATATCACACACACACAAAAATGGTATTTCAGTGAGGTTCATTCAAACTACGCAGAGTAAATGAACGAGAAAATGAGATAAAGTAAATTTACAATTTACACTTCAAAGTATGCACGCAAAATTGAATGAAAAACACACAAAATATAAAATTTAAATTTAAAATCCAATGAATAGAGTTTGATAAAATACTACACTTAATTTAAACAAAAAAAGTGGATGATTAACAAATATTCTACTAACAAATTTAGACATGATACAAGAAGTACGAAACATTAAAAGAAAAAAAAAACATAACAATTTAAACAAGAAAAAAATAAACAATGTTTGTGGTTCCTATATAAAATATAGTGCGCTTTGGTCCATTGAAGCGACTACCAAATTACTAATTTCAAGTTATATATGTGTATTTAGATGATTTAATTTTCAATCATTTGGATACAAAAAAATGTAATCAATAACAGAGGTGGATATGTCAAGAATTTCTTTCATATTTACTCTCTATGATAATGACTATAGACAAAAAAACACAAAATTATTTTGATCTGGATGCAAAACAAAAAAAGAAAAAACGTATGCGAAAACAATTACACAATTCACTGAAAACATTTTACTTTTCTTTAGATTGAAAATCGAACAATTGCTTTTCGAAAACACACATGAAAAGTTCTAACCAAAGAAGAAACGTGTATTTTTTTTTTTTCATTTGTCTTGAAATCATATTATAAAATTTACATTATGAAAAAAAGATGAAAAAAAAAAAACAAATTAAATTAGAAGTATTATATTGTAATATTATATAGGATAAGTTAAAAATGGAACGAACAACAAATGAAGATTTTTACAAACAATCACAACATAAAACGCAAAAAAAAAACGAAAAACACGTAAACCGTTCAGCAATTAGGAATAAATACAGTGCGTACATTTTTCTAATGGAATTGGAAATGACCATAAAAACATTTTGAAATAACAAATAAACTGCAATAAAAGAATGGAATGAATTCAACAAATAACCGCATTCAATCGAAATATACCCGACGAATAGCCACTTTAACATTTTACATTACGAAACAATCACAAATCAACGCAAGCTCTATAGAAGACGAGTAAAAAAACAAAACAAACAATCAACCTGAGTCCAAAAGACCTGCTTCATTAAATTTGTCATTGAATTTGCATAAGTTATTTTTTTTTTTTTTCATTTCTGTATTTTATTTTATCCGTATTTTGAATAGCACAAATGCATTCTTTTTTTATATATATTTCTTATTGTATTTGATTGTTTGTTCATCTTTTCTTTTTTATAATGTGCCCCGTTTCATTCGAAGTGCCTTTCATAAAACATTCATAGAGAATATTAAGATTGTTTGAAGAATTTTTTACATTGTCTCCTTGTAAAAAAATTGAGATTCTTCCCATGGAAGTGGATGAGATGTGATGATATGATTAGGCACTTAGAGTCAAACAATTGCACTTAAATTCTTAATCAACTGTTATAGTTTGTTCTTATGTTACAACTGATAACAGCAATAGTAATAAAAAAAAATGACAAATGTGTAAACTGTATTGTCCAATAACAACAAACATTCAAATATGATCAACAACATTGTGCACACTTTCGAGTCGTATTGGAAGTTTCAACTTTCATCGACTCTCGAATGCGCACGATTTGAGCAAAAAAAAAAAACAAAAAAAAATGTTTTAATAATTATTAATTAGAATAAAAACCTATAAAATTTTAAATTATTCAATGTATGCAAGTAAATATAAATTGAAATTATTGATAAAAAAATAAAAAATAAATACTTTGAATGAGTTATGAGAGTTATTGGCAAAGTAGGACCTGCATCAAAATGACTTTGCTGAATAAACAAAAAATAAATGTGAGAAATCTTTGCAAAAAAAAAGAGAAGAAGAAGAAAAACACTAACAATTTTAACGTCTAATTTTTACGAGTAAGTTTTTCAAACGGTCGTTTAGCTGAATCTTTCAAAAATTTCGCATTGAATTATTGTAAAAACCAAAAAACGTGAAAACACTTTTTCGTCCTTTGCGTTATTTATCTTTTTTCTCGATTTTTAAGCTGTCAAAAAGACGGTGTTTACGATTACCACTTCGAACCCGTTTTTTTCTGTTTACGTTCTGTTTGCAATCCATTATAAGAAATGATGTGTACGTATTTAAAATATTGATTTTAATTAGAACTTCTTTCAAGCTTAAGACGTCGAACAATTGAAAGCAAATGATATTATATTAAATGATATAAATCATATATGTAAAGTTTTTAGAATAATTTGTGGTCGGTGTTCAATTGGATTGCAAAAAAAGTAATAATTTTCTTTTAATTAAATTAATGGGCAAAATGTAACATGTAAGCGTTCACAATTCTTGCTTATTGAGTACTTGTGTTTATCACGTCCGGTATTGTTAAATTATATTGATGAGATTCAAAATAACATACGTATAATGCAGCGTAAGCTAATTCGATTCTCAAAAAAAAATATCGTTCCTTTATTATATATTCAGGCAAACATTAAAAAAACACGTTTTTTTTTTTTTCATACAATAAGACGATATGTAAATCTATGTGGAGACAAGAAACGCAAGCAGTGTGACTTTTTTGATTGCTTATAAAATATATAAGAAAAATCCAAATAAAAAATATGTTTGAAGGAAAAATAAAAAAAAATTCATCACAATAGACATGTATACAAGAATATTTTTGTCAATTTGGTTTATTTCCAGTGAATCGATAGAGAAAAATAAAATTCTTCAAAGCGAAGACGCAAATTTGTCATCCTTGAAGAAAAAAAAAACGTTTTTTTTTTTTTGGTTAACTGGAGATAGGCTATAATTTGTACATAGATAATTTAAAATTTTAGTTGGACCTACTTATCCTAATTAAACCAAATGTTTACGCAGAGAAAAGTCATTCTAATTTGGAATTTTTATCGATTCTTTTAAAAAAAAAATCAAACATTTTTGTAAAATTCAGCTAAACTCTCTGGACCAAATTTTTCCAAAGAATTAAATAAACAAAATTTTAAACTTTTTGAAAATTGAAAAAAAAGGTTTTCGATAACGCTTCTAAATTAGAGTAAATTTTCTACTTAAATTGTTCTACTGTGTAATCTCTGAATTTAACCTAAGTAGATGAATTTGCATGGCGACAATATAGAGCCATTGATTATCTCACATTCCAAAATAGAGTTGATTTTATATTTCGAGGCTTTATACAATACTATGTAGTGAGACAAAGATTTTAAAATTTGGTTGGAAATGAATACACATAAACGAAATAAATTTAAAAAGAAAATATCACCGCCAATTTTTTTTTCTCGAAATTTTGAATTATACGCTAAAACCAAATTAGACGAAAACGTTTGTCTTAGAAAGCAATTAGGTATATCATAAGATGGTGTATACTGAAAAATAAATAAAATTGTCAAAATAACACATTCATTTTTTAGCGACGAATGAGAATCATTGGAATATCATTTTATGACAATCATTCAATGATAAACCATTTGCAATGATTCGAAATTTAAAAAAATAAACAACAAAATTGTTGTACAAAAGAGACTCTTTGAAATTTTTGAAAATGCCTAACAGCTGGAAAGCAGCTATGATAAGAAATATGAAGTAACCTCTTTTAATCGCCTTTTTTGTGTATTCTGGCCTGAAAGCTCACTCTTTTCCAAATTCCAAAAATTTTGCTTTTATTTTCATCATTGGATCCTGGTCATAAATTATCGAATAAATTTAATTTCGATTTGTTACTCTATTCGGTAAATATGTTATTATTTTCAATTGGAAAATTTTCTTTTTTAGATTTACCAACTTGGTTCAGATCAAGTTTTTTTTCTTTTCCAATTTGTCAGCTGACATTTCATTTGGCATGAAAATGACAGAGAAAGCTAATGAATTCATAGTGAAAAAAGTCTATGCTAAATGCGGTTCTTATGCTCTCCTGTAGAAATGAACATCTTTTTTTATTTCTTCAAATTGGTTTTTTTCTCAAGCTGGGCAATAATGGTTAGCAACTCTATTGACAAGAAAATTTGTCTTATAAATTAAGTCCATAAGTTATGTGTGAAATTTTATGAATTAATTACCAATTATTGACAAAAAATCACAAATGAAGAAAAAAATATCTTTGAACATCTATTCAAATCAAGCAATTTTTCGAAAGGTGATCAGCAAATCATTTTCTCTTATATATTGGTATGAAGATATATTTTTTGTTTCGATTGACAATTTATCAATCAAGCTTATAATAAAGATTTTATTAAATATAATGCTGTTGGAGAAAAAGAAAACGCTACTTTCCGCATTCAATCTAATAAGAATGCTTATAAAGAAAAAAACGTTGACAAATTCACCACATGTGTTAAACGCCTGAAAGTATACTATCTAAGATAAGACGCTTGCTAACAAAAGCGAATTAGGTGGTGAATTTATTTCGGATCACCTTGAAAGGAATAAAATGTTGAAAAAAAATTAAAACGTGCTGGATAAGTTTGAGCGTAACTCCCAGGATTGTATTTTTTAACATCTTTATAACACTGCTGAATTTTTTTTTATTTTCACTTTTCGTAAATTTTGAATAAAAAAAAATGTTGAACAAAAAAATGTTCATTATATCAGGATTGTTGGTATGCATTCAATTTATTCGCTTAACATTTTTCCAGCGAATATATATATGCATTGATAAAACAGTTCATCATTGACTTTGAATAAAAGATACAAAAAATCAAGGTGAAGTGTCAACATTTCCTAAAATGAACCCTATGTGGTTGTTAAATCGTATTATTTTTTCTTTTGGCGTTCAAAATTTGAAGCAGTGATCAAATGGCATTGAAATGAGAATAGTCAAATAAATTCAAAATTGAGAATTTATTTAGATATAATTTAGAGCATTTTAATTTGATGTTATCGATTGCTATAAATACATCTTAACTCCTCTGATGAATAGCACCCAAAATCTCAGTATTTTATACGGTGTTCGTACCGATCGCTGGAAGGCCATCACTAGCATCAAACAAATTCATTAAATACAAATTCTATTTGAATGATTCGTTGACGAATACCGTATGTTAAAATCTGACATTCGTCGTTAGGCTGTGTTTGGTATGAGAATCGATTAAATTCGATTTCATTGATTGACTGGAGAGGAGCGAGGATAATGCATTTTTTAGGATAAATTTTAGGTATTGAAACGAAAAAAGAAGAAATTATGAAAAAAATAAAAATAAATTTTGTTAAAGTTTGGACAAAAGTCTTTAGGATAATTTGGATTAAATTTGAAATTATATATCTATTTATAAAAGGAGCGATTTCCCATTTGAAAGAGGTACTTTAAAATTTTTGCAGACACAGCTATTTCCAGCTGTCCGTAATGGAACGCGGTTATGTTTCAAACCAAAATTATTACCGATATCTTTGTTCATATGATACAACAACACAAACTATTCGAATATACCAAAAAGTACATCGGACTGATGGTGAAATAATCCTTAGACCCAATTTATCCTCAACAAATTCTCTAGTCAATGCAAAGAAATTTAGATTCAGACGATCAGATGAAGTAATATTGAAGTTGATTTTTAATGATTTAAATCAATAGAACTGGTTTTTTGTTAGATCGAATAGCAAGGAGATTTATGACCTATGTAATAAAAGCTGATGAAATATTCAAATTCGCGGAATATTAATGGATTTTTTTTTATATGACAACAATTCTTTCATTCATATTTTAGTATTAGAACTAAAATGCTGAGAGAGCAACAAAAACAACGTAACAAATATATGTATTCCTACTTTTGAATCTTTGTGCAAATGTATATCATTTTGTATTTTAAAAAAAATACAAATCATGTAATGG